CGAGGCCTCGCGAGTGTCGCTTTAAGAAGGCTGGCTGGGAGGTGTTTGTCAGAATTGAGAAAAGTTGGGGTTTCTGTATTATTGAGGAAAATACATAGTTACTTCTTTCAGTTCTCTCACGGGCTAAACCGAGTTTGTGCTGTGGACAGTGATTGAATGTCTAAATTGTCTCTATAATTCCCACTGAGATGTTTGTTGAACTGAGAACAATAGTGCTATTGACCATGCTCGTGAACCTCTGTAAAATTTGGAGCTAGTTGGGGTCCAGCGCTTTCTATCCCGCGCTTACTTGCTCATCTCTCACCTGCTCCAGCTGTGAGAGGAGCGAATGGAAGTGGGGGTCTCCTGACTGCTGCTGGCTCACACACTGAGGTGCTGTACGTTAGGGGGTTGGGGAGTTCTGTTCCAGTTCTCTGACAGGGCTGTTTTCCTTGTTGCTATCAGTTGAGGGGCTATAAAGAGACTGAACTTTGGACTCCTTCTGTTTTAGCAGGTATCAATAGATTTAAGCAGCCTTTCTATTAAACTTTCATAAGACCAGTCCCACACAGCATCTGGATCAATGAGGAATTCTTGGAGTTGTGGCTGAATACTGCCTTAGCCTGCTGACATCAAAAAGGAGGACACTGATGTGGTGGAAGCTTGCATAGTGTTTGGTTGTGTCAGGATAATTAAAGACACTGGATGTTAGCTGGTGGAAGAAGAGGATGGGAATCTGGTTTTGCTTTTTTGTTATCTTCTTAATTGCACTTTTTGCCCTTTCAGATAACAAGCTACTAGAGAAGTCGGATCTTCATGCGGTGCTGGCTGATAAGCTTCAAGCAGAAAAATATGAGATGCAGAGCAGACATGAGATCAGGTATTGAAAATTCCTTTTCTCTCAGTCATCTCTCCGTCATGCACACTGTAACCTAAGCCATTGTTTGATGCATTACACAAGCAACTTCTGGTTTACTACAGTAACTTGAAATAAAACAAACTAGGAAATCTGTTGAACTAAAAATAAATTATAACTAAGTCTAAACATATGATAAAGTACATAGTGCAGAAAGATCTGACCGAGTTTTGGACAGAAAGTAGTTTATCACAAACTCTAAGTAGAGCAGAGTGAGCTTCTGCTCCTGATCTGCTTGCCTTGTAGTGCTTATAATGTTTGCTGATAGTGTTAGTTCCCAATGATTGTGATCTGACTCTTGAAATTGTTCAATCTTACAAGCATTGCAGTGCAGGGATAGGCCAATGTCTTAGTTTCTTTCAATTTGTCTTATCCCATAGAATGGGGAGAATGGAGAAAATAATGATTGTGGAGTGTTGGTCCTAAATAAGCACTATATGCTAAAAAGGATGTGCCTTCTCCCTGCTTTTAGCAGAGTTTTTTCAGGAAACTTCCTCTCTGACCTGGGAATAGCACTGTAGTGCTGCAGACAGGAGTCATGCAGCTTATTCTGTTTTCATTTGAATCCACAGCAAACCAATATACTACTAGTGTGTCCTTTGTCTGGACAGCGTGTAAATCCCAGCAGGTACAGGCTGTTGGATTTTGCTCTTTGTGTAACTGAAGAAAATGGCAGGGCTAAGTAGCTCGGAGTTTCCTACTTCTGTAGGAAGTGCTTCTTCTGTTGAAGCTCTTTGCTATATAATGCAAAACTGTATCCATGTCTCTCATTGGGTTACAAAACAAATATAGCTAAGTTTATTGTGTACTATCCTTAGTAAGGAAAGAACTCCTGATTTTATAGGAATTGCAGGCAAAATGTCAGTGTTTGGCCAGCACGTTGTAGTTAACACCCAGATGAAAGGTGTCTTCCTGATGATTGCAGTTGTCTTGAACCATCTTTAGTTTACAGGAATCTGATTCTAGTTGAATACCTACTGTAAGAGGTGAGGCTGGAGTAGATGAGAATGAGTAGAAGTGCACAGAAACAGCATCTTCAAAGTAAATACTAATCTGAACTCTGATACTGTCCTCGGTATATGACAGTTTTTTTGAAACAGAATGAATTCCCTAATCCTAGATAGCTGAAGAAAAATGCTATTACTTACCTTAAGGCCGAGGAGGAGTGTCTAGTTCTGGCTATAGGTGTATGCGTGGCCAGAGTTATAGCATATGTTGGATATTACCACAGGAGTTGGCTTCCTATCTGTTTGGACACAGTGTTTTGGAAATGCATCGTCTTCTAGTACAGCCTTAGTTCAGTGAGATATTGTTTGTTTGTTGTTTGTTTTTTTGAGAAGAGCATTAAGCCACTGATATCACTGTGAGACCTTTCAGCTTCTGAATGCATTATCTGTTTCCCACTGGACTGTTATAAAACTGAATGACTGCAGAAACAGATTCTTGTGATTACATTGTTCTGTTTGTCTTGTGTAAGAGTGGTGAATTTAAAAATATTATTTTTAAAAGCTGTAATTTATAATGTAGCTACTGACTTGCTTAAAGGCTGTGTATGTGATATGTATATGCGTGTATATGCTTTTAAAAAACTGACTTCTGTTCCTGTCTGTGTGCTTTGAAAAACATGAGTGATAACTGTTGCAATCATAGTTGTTTGGGGGGTGATATGTGTGTTCTTCTGGTGTGTAGAAATTCCAGACTATGTCACAGTACCACTGTGTTTTAAAACACAATTAAAAAAACACTGCAAAACCTTTACACAGTAGGAGGCTAGAATATAGTTAGGACAATGAAAAAGTGACTTGTAACACTTGGGACTATAGACCCAAGGGCCTGGGAATATATCCTTGGTTCACTGGCTTTTGGTTCTGTGCCCTGTATTATGCTGTCTCCAGATATCTAGCATTGTCAGGATTTGCCAGCTCCCTCCGAAACAAATTTCAGGTGGCAAAATATTTATAAATCTTTCAGAATTTGGAGAGTGTACTTTTAAGACTCAATTGTTTTAATGTAAATTTAAGCAAAAACTAGTTATCTTTCATTTGAGTTTGAATTCTGTTTTAGAAATACACAAAAGGGTGAAGCGAGTCCTCAGTAAATTGAATTTTCCAGTACTGCATAATGGTATTTTGGTTGGCGAGAAGTGTGTTGTAGGGGAACTAGCTGTGGTTTAGTTTGTTATGAATGACCTGTATCTCTGATATAGTATAGAAAATCTAAGGGAGTTTTATCTTGAGACTAACAGGTCAAAGGCACAGGAGCAGCTGGATTGTAGTTTGTGACATCTCTTATTCCTCTCTAACTCCAGTCCAGGACATGATGGCACATGGAATGATGCTCAGTTGCAGGAACTGGCACAGCTGAAGATAAAGCATCAAGAGGAGCTGACAGAGCTGCATAAGAAACGTGGCGAGGTCAGAAAGCCCTCTTGTGTTCTTTATGGTGCATATGTGGCCCTTTGTGGAGGTGACCTTAATTTTACCAAGCTTATTGATCATCATTTGTTCCTTATTTGATGTACAGCCTTTTTAAGCAGCCCATATTGGTGATTAAAATAAACCAGAGATGGTATTTCAAACTGACAGCTAGGAAATAAGAGCTTACATTGTCAGCATAGCGTGATTTTTAAGAAGTGCTTTATTTTGTTTCATGACTAGGTTTTTTACTGTATTTATTAGAGGAGGAAGGAACTGATCCAGTTTACAGGGCTATGCTTGACCACTAGTTCTACACTGGAAAGATTTTAAGTAGACAGAGTGAGAGATTAGGTGAATCTGTGTGGTTTCACTTGGCTCTCACTTTGCAAGACCACTGTTAGATAAGAGCGGATGAAAATGAACAAGCACAAGCAAAAGTTGAAAGTGCCGTGGTGTTAGACTGAAAAGGGAGTACTGATTCTGCCTTGTTGATGTAGCAGGGAGCCAAGAAGTTCCATTAGCTATGAGAGTTGGGTCTGGAAGAGAGGAAAATCTGCTATTTTTAGGGTTTTTTTAATGGGAAGATGTGGATGCTTCATTGTCAGAATTAGGTTTTTAAAAGCCACAACAGTAGACTGAATGAGTGCAGGAGGTGGTATCTGAATGGTACTGCAGACTTTTGTAGGGAGAAGGTGGGAGTGACCTGGAAAAAGTTATCGTGCTCCTTTGATCACACCTCACTGGAGTTGTGGAGCAGCTCCAGTGTCAGTAATTCTGAACTTTTAAAAGAGGAGACGGCTTTCTACAGGAGGTGTGCACTGATGAGTCAAAGCAGTGAAAATCCCTTCTTTCCCACCAACCCAGTATCCGAAGCCATCTACCCCAGCAGACACTCTTCTCAAAACTGTCTGCCTTTTCTGCGGAAAGCCAAGGCTCTGCATGCTGTGGGGCTCCCTGCTGCTCACTGAGTGGATAGGTGTGAGCTGGCAGCAGCAGCTCCTTAGTGTTGGTCTCTGCCCATCTATTTCCTATGCATTGCAGAGACTTCACCAGCAACTAACTTTGTGTGATAACCCTTCATGAAACCTGTGTTTACAATATGTAAGCTGCATGTCTCCTGTAATGGCTCTCCTGGCCATAACAGGAAGACTTTTTTGCATGGTTGTTAGTACTCATTTGTTGGTTTACTTACTTGGCAGTTTTTAGGTTTTGCATTGATTTTCCCACTACTTTAAACAATAAAATATCTTCCTAATATGCCTTCTGTTTGATGTGATTTCATTAAATACACTTTTTGCTATAATGAAGTGAGATATCAAAGGACAGTAACTTCTTGACAACTCGTTTTTGAAAGTGGATTCCCTGATTTAGTGACCTGTGTGATAGGGGCAGTAAACAGATCTGTATAAAAAGCTGTGAAAGAAGACCTGAACGGTATGCTTCATGCTTGTAATGTTAGATTGGTCTGTACTCTCACTGGTTGCTACTCAGTGTGTTATCCAGCTGGCATCCCTGCATTTTGTAATGTAATTTTCTCCTTTCCCTAGCTGGCCCAGTCTGTAATTGATCTGAATAACCAAATGCAGCAGAAGGACAAAGAGATGCAGATGAATGAAGCAAAGTGAGTAGGAATTGTTTCATCTGTGTGGTTGGTATGAGACCCAGACTTCTGGTTGAATTATTTATTAGTGTTATAATATCCTCTAGGAGTCCTAGCCATGGGCTAAAAATGCCTTTGTTGGGCATTGTACAAACAGCACAAAGAAGATGGTATAGGTCCCAAAAGAGATCCTCATTGTTTTGTGGATTTTGTTGCCATTCCAGGATTGCAGAGTATTTGCAAAAGATCTCTGAACTGGAAACAGAGTGCCAGGAATTGCGTAGCAAGTTGCAAGATCTTGAGCGAGCTAATCAGACACTGAAAGATGAATATGATGCTCTCCAGATCACCTTCAATGCCTTGGAGGAGAAACTAAGGAAAACTACTGAAGACAACCAGGAGCTGGTCTCACGTTGGATGGCAGAGAAAGCTCAAGAAGCCAATCGTTTGAATGCAGAAAATGAAAAGGATTCAAGGTGAGATTGACCTCTGTTTGATAAACTACTTCCCAATATACTTTTGAATGCTTAAGAGCACGTAAGATAAAACCATATTAAGTTTTGATCTCTGAGATCTCTGTATTGCACATCTCTCTTGCACAACGCAGTGAGAGCCCAGAACTTCGTGTTCTTCCTTCTGGCCAATACAGACGGATGCTTTGTGAAAACATTCCTGTCATTTAAATGAATAAAACATGTTCTTTTGTTTCTTGAGCAACATCTAACTGGCCTGGAGTTCATAAATCAGATGGAAACTGGGGGTTTTTTGCTGGTGTTAGATTTGGACTTCTCTTGTTCATATTGCATCTTGATAACCACTCTTAGTTTTATCCTTTTTTGATTTAACAAACTTAAGCTTTTTTTTTTTTTTTCATTCTGCTAAAAGGAGCAGCTGCCACGATACTGAGCTATGTATAACTTGCAAAAATAAGTTTGTATGGTGTTTTTTTTCTTGCAAAATAATAATTTTTCTTCTGAATTGCTCCACCTTCCTTGCCAGATAACAATACTTGGAGGCTAAAAGCTATAACGCAGGTCTCATAGTAGTTGGCAGCTTGGCATTATCTTTACTAACACAATCATTATTTTTGCAAGTTCTTGCACTCCAAGCAAATCCACATTCCTGTGGATCTTAAAGGACCTCACTTGACTGATCTTGTCCTTCACTATTCACAGTAAGAAAACTGTCTCTCCTTCACTGAGTATCTTGAAAAGTAGGGTAAAATTAGGGCAGTGGTCTGATTTTATTATTTTTTTAATCTTATGAAGGCCATTAAAACTGTGCAGGATGACCTTTGGAATGGGATTAAGGAAGTTATGGGGGATTTTTTTTGTTTTTTGTGGGTTTGTTTTTTTTTTTTTAAATACCCTTGCTTTCCTTTTCTTAGGAGACGACAAGCCAGGCTGCAGAAGGAGCTAGCAGAAGCTGCCAAAGAACCCCTGCCTGTTGAACCGTAAGCAGTCTTGATTTATAGTCTCCATCATCACTTCATGCTTCAGTTTTATGTAGATGCATGATAAATGGTATCTTTGTTATTTCTAAATTTGGTGACATAGAGGAGCGTTTGAACTTTGGTGTAAAGTCAAAAATATACAGTAACTCTCCCTACTTGAACTTCCAGAAGGAGAAGCTCTGTTATGACTAAATATAGATGCTTCAACTGAAAGCCATAATAGTGGTTCATATGGTGAATATATGTTCTTATCTCAGCATAAAAACCTATGCTATGTGGTGTCTTTGGTCTTCAAAATAGTTCTTCAATCATGAAACAGTATACTCTGGAGGTGCTTGCTTTTTTAAGCGTTAGACTACAAATATGTTTAAGGATTTCCTGTAGGAACAGTTACTAAGTGAGTTAAGGTGGGTGAAAATATATATTGATCTCTTCCATACTGGGAGAGATTTATTCTGTAGGAAAAAAAAATAGGTAGACGTGGAGTTACTTTTCCTGGCAGGCCAGAGATAAATATCTCTGGTCTCTTGTTCTTTTTGCTGCTGTGTTTACTCCTGGGTGATATTTAATCAGCTGACTGAAATGGGCAGTTGATGTGCTTTGCACCAGACTGATAAGGTTATTGGCACTTGTGTTAGCCAAATCCAGAAGAACTACACCTACTGCATTGTTTCAGGAAACTGCCGAGACAGTCTTCAGAGGCGTTTTCTTGATACCTGTTATCTTTGTATTAGCATCATGTAATCACATTGGGTCTCTGTGCTGTGTGTCCTTGTGCATGACAGGAGCAACCTGTCTGCTCTGGCAAAGGGCCCACGCAAAAGTCTGGGGTAGGTAGGAGGGCACGTGTAAGTGGAGTATGAGAGAGCTTGTAGCATTTGAAAGGGAAATTGAAACTACAATTAACAATACAACTATTTAGCACCATTTACTTTGCTTTTTTTTTTTTTTAAATGAAATATTTAAATGCTTCCATTCCCTTAGCTTATTGAGGTGTGACTGTCCATGGCAGATTACTGCTGACCGCTCTGTCACAGGCCAGTGGACAGTGCCAAGCCAGGGGACCATCTTCCCAGCTCGTAAGAATAGCAATATCCCCTTTGTGTTACTCCCTGTGTGTTTACATCAAATATCTTAGAATATTAAACTTTTCAATAAATAATACTGCACTGAGAAGGGAAATGCACATTTAATGTCTGTGGCCACTTTCCCTGTTAACCTTCTTCCTCTCCATTACCCAAAGCAAGACCTTCCTATCTTAGAGCTGAGCTCAGATGTAGCTGTAGCACAACAGCTTGAATATTTTACTTCCTGCTGTGGTGGGGATCATGATCTCAGCATTTCATTGATATGAGACACTGAATTTAAAAAGAAGCTTGCTTTAAAAAAAAAAATTCTAGAAAATAATTGCTTCTGTAAATTACTCAAACTCTGCTTGACAGATGTTTTTGATTCCTTCTTTTTTATTTCATAATTGTAGGGGGTTTGTATTGTATAAATATGCTGCTTACTGAAGGGGAAGGTTGCAGTATTTCAAGGAGTGTGCCTTGGTGCTTATATTCACTTCAAAAATATGTTAAGTTATATGTGGAAAGTTCTTTTGCTACATTCAATTTTAGTAGCTCAATCTTTAGATTTTAAAAAAGAAATATCAGTAGAACTTGTTACTGTTTTATTGAAATACCAGCCAGATGCTTTCAGTCAGCGTATATATTTTCCTTAGACTTTTCATATATAAAATCTTAGAACTTAAACTGCAGCTATATTCTGAAATGAGAGATTAAAAATGGTCCTATCCTTTTCAATTCTTTTGCAGCTGTTTTGTTATTTCATGACAGGAATTGTTTTATTCCTACTTAAATGCTGAATTTAAACTTCCTATTCAGTCCAGTGGCATCAGGTTGATAGAATGTTTTTAAAAATAGTTTGTCCTGCAAAGTCAGCAGTGGAGGAATCATCATTGAAGGAAAAAATACCAGACTGTCAGAGCCCATGACGACTAACGGGGAAAAACCTTTTAGCATTAGCTGAGTAGTTTAGCTGGATTAATTTATGGCCTGTGTATTGGAACCTCACACTTCTGTTCAGTCATACAGCAGCACTTTAATCGAGTGAAGCAAAGCATCCCTTGTGCTTAATGGAGCAATACCTGAAGTACAACAGTAGAGAAGGTATCTGGATGTCTTTGGTGTGGATGAAGAAGGAAAGTTTAAACTCTTGGGCTTTTTCTAATACTTCTTTTTTTGGAAGAGCAAAAAAAATGTGAAAATAGGATATTGGCTATATTTGGAGTTGCAGTAACTCATGTTTTTGCTATTCTGTAGCTGTTCCAGCAAATAGTTCACTATACAAAATCTTGCTTTGATGTGATAGATCTTTATAATGCTGTATTTAATGCTGCAAGCTGAAACATAATGCCTATAGTAAAGAGAATCTGGAAAGTATGCCTGTCAACGTAAATATTGGGGGGGAGAAGGGGGGAGAGGAATCCAGCTCTGTCAGTGAAGAGTGCAATTGGCGGCGGGAAAGAAAAACAACTGTAATTTAGGTGCTGCATGTACTTGTTTTCAGACATTGCATGTTGAATGTGGTATTTCTGGCAGTGACAACTAGATCATTGCTTGTGTTGTCTGGATCTACCTACGTGTTACTACAGCTAAGTAAACCTAGGTGCAGGTTGGCTGCAGACAGCAACAGACCCTGGAACAGCGTTGTCCATTTAGTTCATATACATCAGTGGGTGAGTTCTGTAGGAAGCTCTGGCTGATTAAAAATGAAGTGTTTTCTCTCATTTCAGCAGGGATGATGATATTGAAGTGCTTGCAGATGAAACCTCTGACACAGCTGAGGAGACATCTCCAGTGCGAGCTATCAGCCGAACATCCAGGTTTGTAGATCAAGAGATTTTTTACCGTATCATTGGGGAAGAACAAGGGCTGTGAGTTACTTAGAGTTTTGACTTGACTTTAGCTGGAATGCAGTTTAGTACTTCCACCTGAGCAGCATAAAACTCATGTGCTGTGTTCTCTGTTACCATGCTCTGGATATGCTCTGTTTTTCCTTTGCTATTTTATATAAATTAAACTAGTGTCTGAAAAATCTGTGTGTAATCTTAAAACAAAGGTTTAAGAGGAAAATAGGCAATAAAATGGGTATTGCAGTGCCTTTTGTATTATATTTCTTACTATACAAGATATCAGTGTGACTTTACAAATAGCTGTGTTTTTTGATTTAGCTGAAATGCTGGAAATATCTTCACCTAGATTAAATGCATCTTTTTCTCTCTCTAAAATAGCAGTGAGTGGAAAGTAAGAAGGTAGTTACATGAGAGCATGGATTAATTTGGTTGAAACTTCAGACTTGGCAGACTGTTACGTCTAAAACCAGTGATCCACAGGGTGGAGGTTGAGGGAGACTGAAAAAACTTCACTCACAAATTATATTCTGAGTTGTAGTTACTGACTTTTAAACTGTTGTCTGCTGTTGGTGTTCTCTGTCTCTGGACTGGGTCTGCAGGGGAGGGAGTCTTTCTAGAGACTAGTTGCTATGAATTGTGTTTGTATTGATCTGTATGTGGAGAAGCTGTTCACAAGGTTTAAACCTGTCCTCCCCTCCTTCAGTAAGCGACTCTCCCAGCCAGCTGGAGGCCTTCTGGACTCTATCACTAATATCTTTGGGTAGGTTAGAACACTTTCACCTATTTGTTTTGTATATTGGTTTCAACGTACACCAAAATCTTGGTGATGCAGGGAATACAAACAAATTATTTCAGCCTTTCTTCTAGCTTCTGCCTTTCTTTTTTTCTTTTTTGTTCTCCTCAACTTCCTGTTTCTTCCATCTTGCCGTGTGCTGACCTCTGACCTTTCCCTCCAGTCTGTCTGAGTCTCCCCTTTTGGGACATCAATCTTCTGATGCTGCCAGGTGAAAACATATCCGCTCTTAGTCCAGCATGTGAATGTATTCATTGAAGTACATGGAACCCAGCCGCATTATCCTGATTAAATTTCAGATGTTGATAGGACTGGCTAGAAACTGTCTACAGTTAGAGAGGCAATGAGCCCCTCTTTGTGGAGAGAATACATGGGGTTTGCTCTGACTTTCCACTGCCCTTTGCTCCTTTAATAGGGTTATTTAAAATAAGTCGTTGGGTTCTGTGCGTAGTATCCAGAGTGGAGCCAGTCCTTCTAAGTCAAGCTCTGCATTAGGTGGATGGTCTTTGCTTAAATGGTGCAGCCTAAGCTTTTGAATGGAGTGTTTTCCTGCCTGGGATGGAGTGCTGCAACGGTGTTGAGTCTCCCTAGGCATGATGATGAGGTTGCAGTCTCTCAAGCTGTACTCAGCTGCAGTCATTCCCATGTTTCTCTTTCCTATTAAAAAAAAAAAAATACTGCTCCAAAATGAGATGAGTAATCAGTTCAGGTAACTTATCTGGTGTGCTATGAAATATTTAAAGCCACGAGTGTATGTGTTGTTATGACAAATGTAATTTTTGTAAGATGGGGTAAAAGAAAATGTAAAAACTCCTTCCCCAGTTTTTTAAATCACTGTACAGCGTAGTTGAGTGACAGGTGCAGATCTAGATGAACTCAGGAGAAATAGGATTCACTTTTCATTTTAAAATATTTCTGCTTTGTTTCATCTCAGGAGGCGTTCTTTGTCCTCGTTCCCTGCTCCCCAAGATAATGTAGAGCCACATCCAGGTGCCAGTAAAGAAGTGAGAGTGCCCACTACTGCCGTATGTGTCTTTGTAAGTATAGAAGGAGATCTTGGTTTTACCATTCCTTTTACTGTCTTTGGAGGAAGCAAATCCTATCTGTGTGGAACTGATCTCCTGAAACTTTCTATTACCATTGCCAAACAAGAAAGAATTCTTGATTTGGTAGCCTAGTTCAGACTATTTGATTCTTAGCCCAAATGCTTCTGAAAGCCAGTGTACTTGATGTCTGTCTTACTGAGGTCAATGATGACTAGTAAAAGGTCTGAGGGCACAGGGGAATTACACTCCATTACCCTCTTGGCTCCCAGCAGTCCCTGTTCTGTCATGCCATAGTAGAGCCATGATTGAGGAAGAGATTGCTGACAGTTTGGAATTATTTCAGTGCCAGTTCTCCACAGTGAAGGGAGTTGTGGCACTGAATGTCATCCAACAGAACTGCTTAAGAGGAGCTTGTGGTAGTGGGCTGTCTTCATTTGTTGTGTGTGATCTAAAGTTTTCAAGCTGAGACCTCCTTTGTGCATTGTTTTGGCCTCACAAGGCCAAACAAATTTATGTGAAGGGCATTGCCTTCTGAATGAAAGATACTGTGGTAAATTGTCTTAAAACACAGCTACTTGTTTAAACATTCTTCTTGAACTTTCTCATGCCCTCCAATGCTGGATGTGGATATTTCATGAATATGAAATGACTTTTTTATCCAGGGATAAAACACCGAGTGGCTCACTGCAGCATGGAGGCTTGTGTATTCCGAGCCTGTCCTGTTACAATCTTCTCTAGTGGGAGTCATGGGGTGGAGGGAATAGCAATGTTACATTAAGTGAGAATAGAGTCATAACTTAAGTGACAGCCTGTAGCTGACTTGAACAGGGAGCATCAGAGAAGGTGTTCATGGCTGCAGTATGTGTTGCAACCTCTCTCCTCCTCTGGCTAGGTACAACAAGCACAGTTGATCAGCAGATATAATCCTATCTAATTTCATCATAAAAGGTATTGTGAAGCTCTATATGTGAGGTTTTCAAGGACCATGTGAGAGGCTATGTTGTTTTCACCTTTTTCTTGATCTTCTGTAATGTCATCTGAACTTCCAAGAGGAGCACAGCCTGTCTTCCCAATATGGAGGGGCAAACCACAGTAGACTATGCTGACCCTTAGTCTTGGCAATGTGGGGAATGCTGCCTCATTCCAATTCCCCATCTTGCAGCAGGAGTAGGACCAGCTGCAGTAGTAAGCCTGTCAGACTGTAGCAGTATGGGGGTGATGTGTGGTTAGCACTGCAATACTAGAAGGAAAAAGTCCCTACTCATTTCATGGAAATCCATGTGTTCCTTCTGGAGATGATCTGTGTTGTGTTTTAGCTCCTGTGTTTGGAGCCCAGGTGGAGTGTGAGGACATGTCTACGTTCAGCAGAGCATTCCAGGAGTGAATGCAAGGACTTTGTGCCAAAGGTTTGGCAGATACAGGAAGCAGACAGGGCTCGCTTCTTGGAGAGATGAGTAGAACAGACTTGGGAAGGTGGAGAAGGTAGTCACTTCAGCCATCATTGTCAGGCATAGTTTCTATGCAAGACCTTTGACCAATTTTGTTCTGAATGGCTCTTCTGCACTTGTAGAAAGATCAGATTTGAAGTGTGATGACCCCTAAATATGGGCTGGCAGACCAAGTTCAAGCAAAAAGTTCCAGAAAAATACAAGTTTACAGAAAAAGTGATTTTGAAAGAGCAGTTACTGAAAATAATTAAAAAGGAATGCAGAAAATGAATTAAGAATGTGGTACTAATACTGTGTGGGTAAGTAGTATAAAGCTGTGAAATTAACAGGGGGAGGGGAAAGGAAGGAATCTTAAATTCTCATAGGTTTTAAAAGGCTAAGAATCACTATTAAGTGGCCAACTCAAAACATGAAGCTGTGAGAAAGCAGGGATGTCACTGCACCTGCAGGTAGGAACCACAGCTTAAGTCCAAGCTCTCTGTGAGAGAAGGTGCTGTCACAACTGTGCTGGTACTACTTGATCACCAATGTGAAGTATCATTATCACCAATACACTAAATGAATGCAGTTAATCTATTATGCTGTTTTCTAGCAGACTTTCCTAACTCAAGCCTGACTTGGGTGTTCTGTGATTGCATGGACTGATTGGATCATGTTCCATGGCTGGCTCTAGATGGAGAAATGAAAAGTTAGTTTCTGTCTACAGCATATAAACTGTTACTGTTTTCTGTCCCAACCTTTCCTTAATTTTTTTTCTGGTGTAACTTAAAAGCTTTACCTTATAAAGCCTAAACTTATGAAGCATTGTAAGGCTTCTGGCAGTTTTTTATCACTGTTGAGTCCTTGCTGGTGTTTTTCTTTGTGCTTTTGTTTTTTTTCTTTAGATAAGGATCAACCTTTTTGCTCTGTTTGTATAACATCGATCATAGTAGAGTTTCAGTCTGTGGCTTTGTTCCTATATACTGCTGAAAGATCTACAGCTGTGGTTCTGCATAACCTTTAAGTTCTATAGATTTCTAATCTGTGTGTTTTTGGGTCTATGTTAATTCCATTTTGGGTGGCTGTTCTGTTCCACTCCTCAGGATGCACATGATGGGGAGGTGAATGCAGTGCAGTTCAGCCCTGGCTCCCGGTTACTAGCAACAGGAGGCATGGACCGGAGAGTTAAGCTTTGGGAAGTCTTGGGAGGTAAACTTTTTTGTTTTGGGGTATGGCATGGTGCTAGATAAACTCATTTTATAGTTCACTTTGTGTCAGCTTCTGTTCAAATCCATTGCTTAAGTTTTGTCTTTCTTTGTGCAGATAGGTGTGAGCCCAAAGGTTCCCTCTCTGGTAGTAATGCTGGGATTACAAGCATAGAATTTGATAGTGCTGTGAGTATCTGTGCAATATCCACTGTTTGTGACTGGGAATAAATTAACTGAGTTATGTTGTGCTCTATCAATTTCTGTTCTAACACATTGAAAAGTTACCTAAGAAACAGGCTGCCCTAAGTTACAGGCTGCCCAGGGAGGTTGTGGAGTCTCCTTCTCTGGAGACATTCAGGACCCGCCTGGATGCCTTCCTGTGTGATCTCATTTAGGTTCCTGCTCTGGCAGGGGGATTGGACTGTATGATCTTTCGAGTCCCTTCCAATCCCTGACATTCTGTGATTCTGTGAAATGAGTTCAAATACTTATGAGAGTAACTGCAGATAGTTAAAAAATGTACAAAATACCTTCTTTTGACATGCTGCAGTCTGTAATTTTCATCTTTGCTTTATAGTTCAGAAGATGATCTGCAGCTCAGACATTAGCTATTATGGGCTATTATGATGAAATTACAATAAAATACACTAGGCTTTGTCTGAAGTAAGGAGTTAATACTAAAGCTGGCATAACAGCACAAAAGAAGCAAATACACTCAGGCTTTGTCTGTGAAATTTATTTCCTTCAGTGCTCTGCTGAGGTCTGTGATGAATAGTAAAAGGTCTGATTATCCTAAGATTTGCACTTCCATGACCTTTCTCCCAGCAGTTTCTCACCAGTCACGGCACAGTAATGGTGTGGCTGGCAGAGTGTTTGCTGACAGCCTGCGATGTGCTCAGTTCATGTTAACCTGAAGTACTAGAGACATGACTGGAATCAGCATCCAACAGTCTTACTTGAAGGAGTTTGGGGTCTTGGATTGTTATAAGTGGACATGTGATCTGACTTTTCTGCTGAGACCTCTGCCATAACACAGTGCTTTACTGTATAGACAGTAGATCACAGCTGACAGAAATTCTTCTATTTGGTGATTCTTTGTGCTAAGCTTTATTGGTACACACCCAAAAAGATCCTTCCTTTGGACACTGACCATCTCATTAGAGATTTGCTAGTGCTGTTAATCCACAGGAGAAACTAGTTCTGATTTTGGCAAGCTGCTTGAACACATTTGAGGTGAGAACTGCCTGAGGTGAGATGCTAATGGCCTTTAAGGATTCTTTTGAGTTGGACAGAAGTGCAAGCATGAATCTTGTAGTGTCTGTTCTCCATCTTGGATGACTTGGAAGAGCCCTAAGCCTAAGGGCATGAACAAGTCAATTTATCTGTCCTGGGACAGATTTAGCTTTTGCAACCTTAGTTTAAAATGTTAGAATTGTAATGCAAATAGCAAGAATTAGGCTGATTCCACTCCCTGATACAGGGCTTTTTCTCTGAGAGGAAAAAAAAAAAAGCCGGGGGTGGGGGGGTACACAATAGGTGAGGGTAAACTAGAACCCATTTGCTCACTGCAGCAGAAGGAAAAGTAGAATGTCTTTTCTGATCTGGTTATTGTTACTCCTTTTATCTGTAGTCATGATTCTACAAATCACTGTCACATTTTGATAAGGAGAAAAAGCCATAGCCTTCTTGAAAGTTGTTACACTAGCTTTTCTTACTGGTATGTGCTGCTGAGTTTGTGGTTTGGTTTTGTTTTTTCCCCTTGGCAATATAGCACTAATACGGTTTTAAAGTTTTATTGAAAATACTTTTGAGTTTAATTTGCATATTGTCTTGCAGAAGTAGTTTTAAACTAATCCTGTGTTCACAGGGTTCTTACCTCTTAGCAGCTTCAAATGACTTCGCCAGCAGAATCTGGACAGTTGATGACAATCGATTAAGGGTGAGTCTCTTGAAGGCAAAGCAGTGCTCAGCCTGTTTGTCTTGTATTTACAGTTTTGTCTAATGGGAACCTGGCAATTTTGGAAGTTGGGCATCTACACACACTTTCAATAATTCTTTTTGTTAACAGGATCTTTATTTCTCTTAAGGGTCTTCACAGCAAGACCTAAAATACAGCGTTAGTCTCTGCACAACCTTGCAGGAAACTTCAGTTGCTGCATATTTTCACAATACAGCCCCCTTGCTAGCAAAACCTTACCATGTAAACCCAATACACTTTTGCATCTCCCTCTGTGGAAATTTAAATGCTTCTTATGGTTTATGGAGAACCACTTCTGTGTTTTAGCCTCAATCGAAGGAGAGGGATTTTTTCTTTTAAGTCAGGAGCAGCATTCTTGAAAAGGAGTCCTTTGCCTAGCTGTTAAAGGCCTAAAAGTGCTTGACTTAGTTCTCAATATCTTTTGAAAGATTCCTCCTCTCCTCCCAACTCCTTTGTACTCACGTTCTTCTTGAACACTTAGCTCTAGTTTAAAGAAGGTTTCACATTTGACTAGCAAAAAGAAAAGTTTATTTTTTCTGAGAGTTTTTCTTATTGTCCTTCCTACATATACATTTCCTCAACTTTTTACTTCAGGAAGAGGCTACTTTGATGTTCTGAATCTTCTGACATTTCTTCACATGTCAGTTATAACCTACAGTTGCATTGTAATTCACTGGGTAGTTCTCAGTTTGAAAATGTCAGGTCTCACTTAGGAAGGCGAAGAATATCGGTTGTTTTGCAGCTTCTGTTTGGCTGCAAAACCTACTATTGGATGTGAATTACAGTGAATAAAATTTTAGATTACTCACTACAAGAAGCTAGTTATCTCTGCAAACATCCACCTGGCTTCACAGTATCTTCCTGTAATTTTTTGGTGTCCTTGGTGACTTCTATCTTTGGGTAAGTGCATTCACTGTTGGTGGAGGTAAAATAGTGTATTCTTTGTTTCAAGTGTGTGGTATGGAGTTGTCTTGGCTTGTACTTGAGCAGGAGGCAGTGAAACTGAAATCACAGTAAATTTTTCCACAAACTCCCTACTTAAATGTAAATCTCTGTATGTAATGACTGTGCAGCAAGAGCAGAAGAGAGATGCAGAGTGGAAGTTTAGGTCCTCCTTTCTGGACTTTGTGTCTTTTCTTAAGATGAAGTAGTCTTTATGGGATGATCTGTTCTTTCAGAGTTTGTGTTGTGTAACAGGTTTCCTTTTTTTTCCTTAGACTTTGCTCCCATTCCTTTGCATTCTTAAGGGTTTTTCTTTTGTGTTTCCCAAAGCCAGATTGCTTTGTGTAATTTGGTAATCCTTTGAGTATTTAAAAAAATCTAACTATGTACCAAAGATTTCTGTTTTTCACAGTTCTTACTTCATTCATTATCTTGTTTTGTTATTTAGTATGTAAACATTCAGCAATTTGAAGTGAATGTGGTTCATGTTCTTCTCAGTCCCACAGAGCCTCCCCTGCAGTTACAGAAACTGCTGCAGAGTTTTTCTGAAATCTCTGGTTGTCTCAGTTTTCAAACTTGAAGATGTAACAACAGTTGAGACTGGATACCCTGTTGTATCCTTGAGAGAAACTCATTATAAAAACCTGAAGGCACAATTTCCATTTTTAGCATGCTTTAACCCCTTCTCCTCATCACTCCTGAAAGGCTGTGTTGCAGGTGCCATCTGTCCACAAAATGTCAGTGTATGGAATGTTGAGGGAGAGAGCTTGCAGGTTCCCTGAGTAGCTAGAGAAACTGCAGACAAAGGTGACCTGTGTCTCCCAGCTTCAGGCTGAACTCTGTGACACTTCACACTCCTGCTCAGTGTTAATCTCTGTTTAACTGTAATAGATATTTTTTTTTTTCCTCCAGGCAATGCATTAGACATGTAAATTATGATTTAAGATTGTCTTTGAGTTGTTAAATAGCAGAACTAGTAAGCTATGAGGAAAGAGAACTATGCAATTTTACCATGTAAATCTCTTGTCCTCAGCACACCCTGACAGGTCACAGCGGTAAAGTTCTGTCAGCCAAGTTCTTGCTGGACAATGCACGCATTGTTTCGGGAAGTCATGACCGGACCCTCAAGCTCTGGGACCTCCGTAGCAAAGTTTGTAAGGAAACCTAACTTCTGTCTTTCGGTCATGTTCTCTGCTTATACTGAATGTAAATTGAAGTGTGACATCAGCCAGATTATTTTATCTTCTTGCTAGTCTAAAAAAGCAAAAGCTAGGAGCCATGCCATCTTCTGTTGTTATTCAAGTGCTTGGATTCTTTCTGCCTGTTACCTGAAATAAGAATAAGAAATCATGTGTATGCAGGAAGCACTGTTAATGCTATTACATTAACAGCAGCTGTGTTCTGTGAGTGTTCTTTGTTTACCAGCCTGGGGGTGGTGGGTATTTTAGTCTTCCACTAAAAACTTGGAGACAGGTCAGAGTTTTTAACTCTGAGGTGGATGGAAACATCTCTTGAAAATGTAGCAAAAATTTTTGCATCTCAGATGAAGGAAGTGCTAGCATCCAGATTTTCCTTTGGGAGAAACACCTTATTTCCTTGGCTTTTATCCTGTTGATGGCTCTTAAACCTCCTTGCACTGAGACAGAAGGTGAGATTCAAGGTTACCTTGATACCTGAACTTCAAACATAGGTCAAGGAGACAGTTTCATGTTGTTTAACAGTAGCAAATTATAGCTGTCTAAATACAAAGTGGAAGTAAAGCAGCTGTCATGGGAGCATTTAAAAGGATATTAGTCATAGCAAAGGAGATTGAGAAGGGCAGAGAGGTTGTTGAAGACTTAAGTTAGGATTATTCTAAGACAGAGTTTGCCCTCCTTGTTGGCACTCCTTGGACACTGCTCTGTGTGGCCACTATATGTGTCTTGTGGGGTATAGTGATTATTTTCTGTCTCTGTTTTCATCAGTTTCTACAATCTTAAGTTTCAGTGTGTCACTATTGGTTTATCCTTTTTAGGTATAAAAACAGTGTTTGCAGGATCTAGCTGCAATGACATCGTATGTACTGAGCAATGTGTAATGAGTGGACACTTTGATAAGAAAATTCGTTTCTGGGATATCAGGTAAAACAATTGTAAAAGAGCTTATAGTGTAGGAATGGTTATGGGATTACTGTCCGAGTATAATCTGAACTAGGGAACTCTTCTTGCTGAGCTTGGAAGCTAATGAGACTTAAGAATCGCAGAAGGCCATGGAAAGAGACATTATTTTATACTGCTTGGTGATTTGGGTTATTCTTTTGGGGATGCTGTTTCTTTTCTGAAAAGGCAGTCTGCTTTCTTGTAAATATTTTTGTTTGCCAGTACTTGCCATTCTAGATGTTATTTAGTTTTTCAGAGAGGAAAGTAGTGTCTAACTGTTGGCTGGAAATGTTATCCACAAAGTGAGATCTAGCTTGGGAAAGAAAATGTGAGCATGAACCGGTAATCCTTTATCTTCTCTTCTTCCACACTGGGACAAGTCAAAGTTTTGATGCAGTGATTTGGCTTCTGGATACTGATTTACTCTTTCTTTAATTTCCATGTTTTTTTTTTTTTTTTTTTTTTTCCTTTCTGTCTTTAGGACTGAAAGCATAGTAAAAGAACTGGAGCTGCTTGGAAGAATCACAGCTCTGGACCTGAACTCAGAGCGAACAGAGCTTTTGACATGTTCCCGTGATGATCTATTAAAGATCATTGATCTGCGGGTTAGTGCTGTCAAGCAGACATTCAGGTGAGTGTGTTCTTCACGAGAACATTATGAATTTCCGAACTTTGGACTGCGGATTGCTCTGTGTTGGAATGTTTTTCAGTATTTCCATGGAAAGAGCAGTCTCCTAACTTTTCTTTCTGCCTGGGTAGCAAAGTTCTCTAGAGTCTAACAAAGATCTGCTATGGTGGATCTTTTTATTTACCTCTTTAAAGACGATATGTTGGCTTAAGAAGTCTTTGGCCTAAAGGAAATAATATCTTCAGATGTGATTGAGAGGAGGGTGGATGAGAAATGCAAATTGTGATAAAGGGGGATACTGGAGCTTATTCTGAACCATGTAGAAATCCTTACCGTGCTCTTTAGTGACAGCCTGGAAGTCCATCTTGTTATAAATTAATTTATAATTGTCTGATTCTTAACTTTTCAGTGCCCAGGGATTCAAATGTGGCTCTGACTGGACAAGAGTTGTGTTCAGGTAAGGTCAGATATAAGCAAGATATCTGATAAATCTTTCCCCAGCAAAAGTGAGTTATTTGTGATGCTTGGCTGCATTGTCCCCATTTACAGCTAGAAAAACTAGGGCAGAGTTTGTGATTTGACACCTCTTGGTCAGACAGACTATGTCTGTAGGTGTTGATCCAGTATCTTGGAAACTTTCTGATTTCAAAGTGCTTTTCCCTCTTAGTGTTAGCAGATGGTAACACATGACTTATTTTAAAAGAGTATTTAATGCCAAGATGCTTGCTTATGAAGTTGAGGGTGGAATGATGATTTGTGGCAATAAATTGCTGACTTGAAAATTGTGATCTGCCTTCTGCACCTTCTCTGTTCTCATAGCCCTGATGGTAACTATGTGGCTGCTGGTTCAGCTGATGGGGCCCTCTATGTTTGGAATGTGCTCACTGGGAAGTTGGAGAGGACACTTGCAAAGCATCACAGGTGAGGGAAAGCTGACCATATAATCTGAAGTGGGGACCAGAGTTGTGAATCATGCTGAGCTATGAAAGAATTGTAGTCGTACAGATTTGCAACTTCTATCGGTGTGTGAGAATTTTTAATGTGCAGATTCTTTTTGGATTCATGGCAGTATTCTCTAGATTGAAATAAGGTTAAGTTTATTATTGTTTGACTTATGCGGAGATATGATTCTAATAAAGTACATTTCTGAAGAAACTGTCTCCCTCTTAGGCTTATTGAAAGCCAAGTCTCTTGAGAGCTGAGGACGTGCTTTTTCTTTGATAGCCAGAGTACTATAATATTTCATTCCAGTGTTAAGTGCTGTTGTGGAATTCAGTTTTTTTTTGTAAACTTATACCTGGCTTCCCTTTCAGTTCTCCTATCAATGCAGTCGCGTGGTCACCAGCGGGTGCCCATGTGGTCAGTGTGGACAAAGGAAACAAGGCTGTCCTGTGGTCTGAATTTTGACTGAACGGAGGGTGAAAGGCAGAGCATCCGGTGCCCCTGTGCATGGTGGTGCTGGTCCGTGGCTGACAGAATGGAGACCCGAGCCCAGATCCATCCTGAGTCAGGATATTAACAAGCGCATGGGCTTCACTTTTCAGAGGAAAGTTCAAAGCAATGGAGAAGGAGCCTCAGTCAGAGACTTCTTATGGCCGTAACTGCACTGTGGCACTCGGACTCAAGGGATTAGCTGTTCTGGGTGGAGAATGCTACTTAGTCATGCCTTTACATGCAGCATCTATGCACCAAGTGGAGCTGAAGACACGAGGGGGATTCCTCACCAGACAGCTGTGCCAAATACTCTGTCACACAAATGTATCTACAGCACTTCTGAGTTGGAAACGTTGGAAAGAAGTTATGCTGACTTAATACATGTCCCGTCTCCTGTGTTCTGTTCTTGTGGCCTAGTTCAGGCATGGGGTGAGAAGATCCTGAAGTGTGGACAGGTCCTAGGCAGTCTAAAGTGTTGGAACAGCTTTTAAAGAGAGTCTCCCAGGGCTCTGGCAGCTCTGCTTTTGAGTTAGCAGCTCAATTCAGATCTGCTCTGATCCTGACACAGGTTCTCCAGCGCTGTTATGTGAACTATTTTTATCAGTTTCACCTGTTCTTAGGGCAATGGTCTGTTCTTCAGGTCTTCTGCACCCTTTTGTTAAAATACCCTTCAGCAACTTGGGTATCACAAAATAGGAGATTTTAAATCTTTTTATTCCACAGGCAGTTTGATTAGTGGGTATGAGGGGAGAGAAGTTCAACTTCTGCTGTGCTGCTGTGATAAGGAATGTAGTCGTACTGTGACTTCAGTACCAGAATATAGATGTTTGGTCCCTTTTTCTGTTCATCCGTCCTGTCCTGGCGGCTGTCAGTAGAACACAGGGGAGCAGTGGGGTTAAATTCCAAATCCATTGTTTTGGTGCTGGCAATTCCAGGCCACTTGCCCCCTTCTTGAGCACACGTGCAATATTCCCTGCGCTGGAGCCCTCTCTGTGCTATGGAGCAGTGTCTTGGCTCTGTCCCTGTTTAAGCATCCAAAACCATGATGTGGCTGGGTGCGAGCTACCTGGCATAACTTTGTCCAGCCAACCCTTTTCACATCGTCTGGGCCTCAAGACAAGCCACCAGCGTTTTATTGCCTTTTTATTTGCACTTTATTTTCTTCTTTTCTGATAGTGTTTTACTGAAGAAGTGTGTTCTTTGAAGGGGCTGGATTGGGGATCAGCTGTTGTAACAGCTGTCTGTCTAACCTAGCCTTTTGTTCAGACACTTTGTGCAGAGGGGAATTAGAGTATATGGGGCAAAGTTTTTATTTATTCAGCTGCCCATAAGAACTTGATTGTAAATAAACCTGTGTTCTGCTTTTAAAACCCCACAATGCTCTGATTCATTTATTTGTGCGTCTGTGTATGAGATCTCGTTCTGAATGAGTGAAGAGGGGGACCCGAAATGTGTGTTTTCTGTGCTGTGTTTTTCTGATGAATTGTGGATTTGTGTTCAGCCGCACTGTGGGATTTGGTGCAGAGGGGGAAAGAGGATAATGCTCTTAGCTTGAAGCTGGACATCCTGCAGGTACATCCTGGGCTTGTACTATCTCAGGAATATTGCCTTGAGATTGAAGGAAGTCTTACCATGTTGAACAAGTGCCTCTGTCCTTGTAAGTCTGATGTATTCTTGGATATGGACTTGAGGAAATTAGCGTCTGTATTTTAGACACTGCTGAAAATAGAAGGATTTTTCTGCTGTGATACTTTGCTACTTTAAGTTTTTAAGCCAGTAACAGCAGTTGCATGTTTCTTTAAAAACATGAAAACCCTTGTTGAAGATAATGCTCAGGTTACTAGTACTTCAGAGTAATGAAGCAAAGCCTTCAAATTATAAACATTGCAAAATTTCAAAGCCTACAAACTTCATGCATAACTAAGAGCCATCACTGACCACCCTCCTGTTTTCATAAGCCTTCTGTTCAGCTCTTGGAAGTGAGAACTGCAGCAAAAATGAAAATATTCACATTGGCATTCTAAAGCATTTCTAAAGGCAAGATATTTTTTCTTGTGCATGTTGCTGTGGCAGAAGGTCCCTCATGAAAAGGCACCTACCAAGAGTCCAGGTGACCTTGGTTACTGTGGAAAAGCAGATCACTAAATGACAAGTCAGCATGATGAAAGATTATTGGGAGATTAACATAAAAACTGCAGGCTCTGCTGAGGTGGCTCAGAATGGGTTTAGGATGTTTGTAAGTTAGGCTGCTATACTTGTATTTTTCTACAATATGGTCACAGATTCTTACACAACGGGCTCTCTTCTGCCTGTTGATGCTCTTACAGAGTAGGTTAATATTACTTGAGGATAATGGCTAGCTAGCTGAGACTTTAAGCATTTTAGATTAAAATTCTTTTGGACTAAGGTGTGTAGGAAATTCTAGTGACCAATATTAGCTGCTTTTTTTTTTTTTTTTGCTATAGTTTATGTACTTCTATTGCCCCCTTTGCTTCAACCTGCAGAGAGAGGAAGGGAAAACAAAGGTCCCTGCTGTGCAGAGATGGCTGTTGCACTGTTTCTCTGCTAAAGGTGGAGCTGCCCTTCAAGTGGTTTTGAGGGGGTGGGTGGCTGGGCATCTTCTTCCAGACACAAGGCTGCATTAGGAATCATTTGTTACGGAGAAGCTGGTTCTGAGCTCCCCAAAGATGTTTGCAATGGTTCGTGTACCCACACCTTGGCCCTCAGAGGAGTAGCAGGAATAACAGGAACGTTCATTCCTCTCCTGAAGGACTAATAATTCTGCAGTGGCAGCAGCACAAACTCTTAACACCACCAGCTTTCTCCTTTTTGGTTTTGTGCTGTGTGACTGAAGAGAACTTCCTACAACCAGGATCTGGCTTTCCTTCAGGAACACAAGCACATGTGAATTTCCATGTTTTAGCACTCGCTGGTTTGCGTTTGCCAGAGTTGATTAAACAGAGTAGTGATTAAGCTTTCCAAATAATCCACCTCCAGTTAATAAAATGTTGCTGGAATTTGGAAGACATTGAAAGAGCTGAGGAACGCTGGTTCAGTGTTCATTTTTTGGAATAATTTGTGTACCCAGGCTACTATATTCAGGCAAATAGTGGTGATTGTTTGCAAAAAGCAAGCTTGATTTGTAACTGCAAGATTGCCTGAGATAGAGGAGTGCTCTTCAGGCTGGCAAGTGGAGAGGATATCATGTGATCTTCCTAATCAAACTAACAGATGCAGCCCAGTGGAAAGCTACAGCTGTTTATGCAGCTTGCAAGCCAAAAATTACACATATTGTTGTGCATGATATCAAGACCAAATTCATGGGAGGGGAAAAATGCTATTCTTTGGACATTGATAAACAGAAAAGCAGAATTGATTGAAGTCTCTGTTCATGTGTTGTATCTTGGATGTTGTGCCTCACTCTATAAGTAAATTAAGGAGGGGAGGTGTACTGGCTAGCAACCTATTATTTACATTCAGCATGCCAATGGGATGGTGGAACAATAATAGATAAACTGCTTAGTGATTATGAGGCTAATACATTGTTCTCAATGTTTGGTAGTCCTTCACAGTGGCATCTATTTATAGAGACTTGGTTTTATAAACTCCCTTTTTTGTAAATGGCTCTTGTCTGTTCAGCTTCTTATCAGGCTGGATGACTTGCAACCCTAGGAAGGAGAAGATAGAGAAAGAGCTTTAGAATAAAGCTGCTTTCAGTAACCATCTTGTTCTATGTAAGTCTGTAGTCCTTACAAAGCATGTGAGTATGACATTGTAGACCTTTTCACTGACGATCTGAGCTTCCTTAAGTAATGCTCTATGTTGCTGACTTAACCACTTTCTGGTTGAATCTTAGCCCAGGTACAATATTTGCTCTTGGAAGGGGATTAATTCTTGAAATCCTGGATGGACGCAACTAGAGACGTGCTTTCAAATCCCCTACAAATTGTCTTCCTTGTTTGCTAAGAGGTTAGTGATTCCCTCTGGTAGATGTGAAGAAACACAGGACATGGCTGCCTGGAAAATTCATCTTTCTTCAGTGGTTTAGACGTTCGAATCTCTATCCCGTGGCAGCTTCTGTGGCCTTTGGAACACATCAAGGTATTTAATGTTATTTGCTGGTTTGTTTATTTGGGTCTACAGCATGAGTAGGGTGTCTGTTCAGCAACAAATAACTATTCTGGACTTGGAAAACCTACCTATAGTTTATAAAAACAGAAATGCTTAAACACTTGTAAGTTCTGTCTCCAACCTCTACCTTACGTTTTTTCTAGCTTTCCAAGAAGGGAAGTATTTCCTTTTTCTACAGTCTTTTGTGTCTAAATGGGCCCTAGAAACTGTTTCTACTTTTGAAACAGTTTTAAAATGGGAAAGCAAGCAGTAAAATAGAACAGAAGCAATGCAAGGGTGGTCATACACTGTCAGGGTAATGGTCTGTCTAATACAGTAGACTCATTCTCATGGGTCCAGCAGGGAGAAGTGTAAGAATAGGGCACGTGTAGCATCGTCCTTTCCTGATGCTGCTCCTCAGCTTTGGTGTCTTACAAGGTGCAGGTTGTGCTTGGATCATCCCGTCCAACATATGCCAAAAGTTTTTTTCCCTGTGAATGCATCTAATCCTGTGAATCAATTCATATTGGTGATTTCCAGACCCTTTTGCAGCAACACACTGTGCTCTTGAATCTTGTGTTGTGTGGGGAAATGCTTCACTTTATTTTGAATTTGCTCTCTGATCACTTAATTGGATGCTGTTATTTTATGAGTTACGACAAAATGAAAAACTAATCTCTCTCTGCTTTATACCACTCAGATTTTCTGTATATCTCTGGATCTCTCTTGTGTCCTTTTTTTTTTCTCCTTTTTTTTTTTTCCCCCTTTAAGATTGTTACTCCAACTGCTTTGGTTTTTTGGCTTTTTGGTTTTTGGTTTGTTTTTTTTTTCCCTTGGGTACAAGCTATTCCCTACCCATAATTGTTTGTTACCTTTCTGGACAGGTAGCTGGACTGCTACATTCTTAAGGTCTATGCTATTTTGAGTTCAGTGATACCCTGCAAGTAATGGGTTGCATTTGGTTCTGATTTAGGAAAATACAGTAGGATAGATGAGTTCTCATTTTGGGTTTGGTCTGACTCCTTACCAATACGTACCACCTTTCTAGGTCTTAGACTGAGCATGCCATATCCAAGATGGGGATATGTAAGGCATTCTAAAACAGTGTAAATGGCATTCTCTGCGTTCTTGATTTATTTCCTAATAACTTCTCTGCTTATGTCAAGACATTCTTCTTAAGTGGTATCAAGTATAACTGCGCTTGTCAGACTACAGTTGTATTTTCTTTGAGTGCAATACTTCTCACTTACCACGATAGAATGTACGGTATTTTGTTACCTATCCAGTCTGTGTCATGAAGCACTCCTCCAACTTAACATAGAAAGCTTTATTTTTGGGAATCCATAATAGCTTTGTGTCTGTGGGCAGGCTAGTCACTCCTTATCTAGACTTCTTTCCATTCATTCAAGGATATGCTCAATAGCAAATGTCCCAGGACAGATAACACTGCTCTGTTGTATATTTGTAATGGTAAAAAAAACCAAAACAAAACAAAAAGAAACAACCCCCCCCCAAAACAATCCACGCCCTGAAATTAGCCAAAACCCATACATATTGCTATTTATTTCCTACATTTTATCCTATTGTTAATGAGATTACCTTCCTTCTTATCTCATGACAATTTAGAGCCTCTGATGACAGATCTTGAGGTACTTTTTGAAAATCGTACCTTGTGTTGACCAGTTTACATTTATCTGTACTCTTACATGTTTCTTCACAAAATTACTCTACCAACTTCTCTGCAAAGGTCAAGCTATATTTTCCCCTTCAGACTTTTCTATTAGTCTACTGACTTTTGTATATTAATTAAAAAGAGTTGATCTTAGTTTAAAATAGATTTTTTTAATGAGGAACTGCTAAAATAAAAAAAAAAAAAACCCAACAACCCACCTTCTGTGCTGCACCTGAATAGCTATTGATATGGGCTTTGGTAAACTATACATGGGAATGGAGTGCTTTACCCACCAAATATAATTACACTTTTATCTCATCCACCAGTGTGTTGTTTGTTTTTTTTTTCTGATATCTTTCCCAGGACCTTTTGGGGCAGAAAAGCTTCATTCAGCCACTGTCACATACCCATCTTTGACCATGAGTGGCCCTGACTCTCAAAAGACGAGTGGGAAGAATGCTGGTAAACAAATTATCTTCAAAAAAAGCAACCGTGACAAAGCTGTAAGTACCATAATAATGGTTTTATATAGGTCAGAGTTTTACTTGTAGTCAGACTGGAGACTTAGTAGAAAGCTCTCTCCTGTCACCTTCATTTTCTTTCGTGAAGAAGGACCATGAACTTTATTTAGTGCTAAATTTAAGGAAATTATGTCAACAGAGTTTATAGGGCCAGCTTCTCATATATCATAGTACAAGAGGAAGACAACTCATCTCTCGCTCCTCCTGGGTTGTACTCCTGATGGTAAATGTTTAAAACAAAGCTAATTAATTGTCTTTCCAACCTGATGGCACCAAAAAATTTTAAATCTATAGCTCTGGTGCACAAATATTCTGCCTTGGCAGGGGGGGTGGACTAGCTGATCTCCTGAGGTCCCTTCCAACCCCTGCAATTCTGTGATTCTGTAATAAATGCTGCACTTTTGGAAGCTGGTCTACATCAGATTTTCTGATGTCCTGAAGCATGTAAATAATCCTCTTGAGTCTGGTGGGGATTGAATGTTTGTTAGAAAAAAAATAAATATTCCTTTTTATATGGAATTGTTCTGATCTCTACAAGATTTATAGCTCTCTGCTGTGTTGTGCCCCCAACACACAATCACACAACCATCAACACTTTGTAGTTCAACCATGGTTGTCATCTTCCTACAGCTAACAATCTACCTTGGAAAGCGGGACTTCATTGACAACTCGGGGACTGTGGAACCCGTAGGTAAGCTCACAAGGATATGTGCTGCCTTCCTGCTCTCTTAACCCTAAGTATCCAGTGTTAATCTTTATTTTTTCCTTTCTTTCAGATGGTGTTGTATTGGTGGATCCTGCACTTATCAAGGGAAGATCAGGTTTGAGGTTTTATGCAACATATATTTCAAAGATTGTTAGTCCTCATTTTGAAGTCAGATGCTGAGATAGAACCTTTTTTATTGTTTTAAGGGTACAAATGTAACTCTGTTCCCCAGTGAATGGGCTTCTTACTCAATGTAATGTATCTTCTTACATATGATATGAATACATACTGGGTTATACAACAGTGTTGAAATGGGTTTCCCTGAGTCTGTAGTGCAGGAGGATTTTAGATCCCACCCTAGCTGCATTGTTAGCCTGCTGCATGCTTTACCCATTATGTGCTTCTTTCCAGTGTACGTGTCCCTGACCTGTGCTTTCCGGTATGGCCAGGAAGACATTGATGTGATGGGCCTCACCTTCCGACGGGACCTGTATTTCTCTAGGATCCAAGTGTACCCACCTGCTGACAAGCCAGAGTCTCTCTCCCACTTGCAGGAATCTCTGCTAAAGAAGCTGGGGAAAAATGCTTATCCCTTTTTATTTACAGTAAGTATCTTATAAAAGCCTCTGACCCTCTTCTCCTTGTCTGTTATTACTAGGTTGCTGAGGTTCAGTGAGGAACTGAAGGCAGGGATTAATAGTAAATTCATGTTAGGCAAAGTTCCAATTTTGAGTAAAATGTATAATTTTTTTTTTTTCTCTTATCATCCTAAATGATAAAGTACAAGAAGATCCTAAGTGCATTTGAAAAGTGCTTTCCTTGAAAAGGCAAGGAAACATGCAATGGCTTTATGCTAGCAGCAGCCCCATGTATCCTTGTTTTCCCCATGCCTGGAATGCTTTGCCCCAGTGCTCACAGAGCAATTGCCAAATCCTTTGTCTTTAAAAAATTTTGTGGATCAAACAAGCAGATCAAAAGCTCTTTACCAGATGCTGTCAGCAAATAACAGCTCATTGCCAAATTCTGGTTCTGACAGGATATCCTTCCAGTACTGTCAGTGACATGTCTGCTTTAGCATTCCCTAAGAAGATCCAGGTTTGAAAACCACATCCTCTGATATAGCAACAAATATGTCTTTGAATGATTCTACTAAATAAATTGGTACCTGTCTTAACAGTATGAACCACTCAAATACAGTCTAGTTATCTTCAAACTGCTGAGGTTTCTAATGGGATGTTAGCACTCAGTTTCCATGAACTACTCTGCAGCCTTCCCAGTTGATGTCTTGAGTTGCTGGCCCTGCCCAGGCCAGGAGCGAATGAACACTGGCTGGTCTTTATGGCCTTAGTTGTGTTTCTAATGCAGAGATACTTTACTCAAGCTCCAAGTCCATGTGAACAGTTAGTAGCACTGCTGTAAGCCTTATTGATTAGCTTGGATGGGGAGCCAGATGTTCCAGCTTCTGCTCGAAGCTGTGCCTCTAGGGCTCTGTTTGATTTTTAGACCAGGTGCTTCACGTGCCTGGACTTGTTTTACTTTTTACCTCTCTCTTCCCCCCCACCCTCCCCATTCCTTGGCTTTTAAAGTATTTTTGGAAGACAGGGGCTTGTTCATACAAGTAAGTATAAGACCCAGTATATTAAGGCACCTATCTTAGCCAGAACTTCAAAGGATTGCTACATTACAACAAGTGACTTCTTGGCTTCAGGAATGCTTTGTACCTTTTGTGAGTGATATGTTAATCAGAGTATCGAAGAGTTGGAAATCTTTGTAATATTGCTTTGGGGTATTTTTCTCTTCCTCCCACAGTTTCCTGATTACCTGCCTTGTTCAGTCTGTCTGCAGCCTTCACCTCGGGATGTTGATAAGGTGAGACCAATGGGATACTTGTGCTTATCATGGTTGGGGAAAGTCATATGGAAAAAGTCATGTGAATTTGTTTAACTAGCTTAAGAGTAGAATAAGGCAAGACTGGGGTTTACTGTGCTATGCCACAAACGTCATGACTCCAACTTAGCAGCTACAAGTGTGTGTTACAGACTTGGAATTTAAGTCCTCAGAATAAGAAAGAGAATCTAGTCAAATAGTAGCAAGACTACTAAATCTGCAGTGCTTGTAGTTTCCTTAACTGTACCACATGATTCGTGGGTTGGCTGCGCGTAAACTGATCGTAGCTGTCAGGCTACGTGCCTAAAATCTTGTAGATCGCTCTAAACAGTGATATGTTTAGAGTTAAGACCTGCTTCTGAATTAAAACAAATGCAGAGAAGGGCTGGCTTGCACGTGTGCATAAACAAAACAAAAACCCTGGTGTAAAGTCACCAGATAACGAGATGTTCTGCATGGCTTCTGATACTATTTAAAATATTCCTTTTATACTTCACTGGATGCTTCTCTGAAGCTAGACTAACAACTGGGCAAGGTGGGTTGCAGGTTATAGAATCCAGTGCTACAAGAATAAGCCGTGTTTTTTGCCAAGGACTTATATTCTAGCAAAAATTCCCATACTGCTCTGTAGAGAGTTATCTGGGACTCACACAGGTGTCCCACGGCAATATAAACCCATTAAAACAAAGATGAGCTTGGCCTGATTAGCCCTTAGATATTGGGAAATAAGAAGGTTGACTGTAAGTTAGGTATTGGCGTTACAAAGCTGTTCAGAAATTCAGTTCAGAAACTCAAGGCACACTGGAGAGCCTTGCAGGCTGATCAGTCTTACAACCAGCATGCTGCAAGCTCTACAGCGTTACTCTCGTTGCCTTTCAGGAGTAGGGAGTGTCATCTGCCAAAGGCTGGGAGCTAAGCCTCATTTATCAGAAGCAGCATGGAACAGGTGGATGCTGCCACACCAGTTGGCAGGGATCACTATTACAACAGTAGGAGGCCAGAAGAATTTGCAGCTGGCAGGAATTTGTCAATTTCTGGTGTATTGAAAGAGATTTAAACATCTGCAGATGTTCTTGTCTTCTGACACTGGTTTCACAGCTGTCTTGTCTCTCTCTGGCAGAGCTGTGGGGTGGACTTTGAGGTGAAAGCTTTCTCGACAGATAATTTGGAAGAGAGAATTCATAAGAGGTAACAGAATGTGTGTGTCTGTCTTCAGCTTTGTCCTTCTTAAAGGGGGTGGGTGGTTGGTTCAGTAATGCACCTTGGTTGATTATTCAGCTTTGACCCACTTGTCAGTGGACTTCTTGGGTGTAAACACATGTGAATGTGGAACTCCTTCCTCTGCCAAGCACTAAGTACCACCATGTTGTCCTCTGCTGCTTCCCAGGGATGCTGCACGTCTGCTGATCCGTAAGATGCAATATGCTCCAGAACAGCAAGGACCTCCACCTTGTGCAGAGACCACCTGGCAGTTCTTCATGTCTAACAAGCCATTGCACTTGAAAGCTTGCCTCAGTAAAGAGGTGAGGAGTTTGCCCTGGGACTCTGGGTGTCTTAGTATTGTCATGCCAATATGGATTTTGCTGCCCACAGCTACTTCCTGGGTTACTCAGATGGTCTCAGCTGAGACTGACTGGCCCAACACTTAGGGGCTCTAAATGTAATTTATATCAGTAGCTACTGTTAGAGGAGGCTGACACCTCATTATAAGACACACTTGAGGCTAAATAAGTAATTGAAGAAAGGGTCATGAATCATTGGGAAGGGTCATCTTGCCTTATCTAGCCTCTGTGAAGATATTTAATTGGGGAGGACTAGAGGGCTTTAGGGCTTGGGAGAAGCCTCTTGGCTGGATTTCTAAGCATTGAGTTCCTTATAGGTGTACTACCATGGTGAGCCCATTCCAGTCACTGTCACCATCAACAACAGCACAGAGAAAACAGTGAAGAAGATCAAAGTCCAGGGTATGTTTTTACTTTTGCTTGGGATTTTTTGAGGGTTAGAAGACTGGTGGGAGGGCTGAAAGAGAGCCATAATTTAGTGCTTGCAACAACTTAAGCAGGCAGTGTGGGACAAGTCAGGAATTTGTCCCTCCACCCTGTCTGTTGCTGTTTCTTTGCTGTTCATCAAGTGAAACACTGCAGCCTTTTTCCTGACTCTGATGGTATGGCTTAATTTCAGGCACCAGTATGTCCCCTCTAGTAAACAGAAAGGGTCTGACACCTGCAGCAGGCAAGGGCATTTGCTGTGGGGAAAAATCCACCTCTTCTGGGAGGCTGGTGGGAAGGGCTTCACCATCAATGTGTTGCTCCTGCTAACTGTGAATGTGCCTAGCTTGCCTGGGGTTTCAGAAACATCTGGCAATGTGAGAAACAGCCACTCTGCCAGCGATGGTGTAATTCCTCCTGAGGAACTGGGGGCAGGGGCTGAGTTTCAGAGATGTTTCAGTACTGTGCTTGTGTTTTATTTGTGGCACTACGTTTTCATCCCACAAGCCCCATTGCACTTGGACATGTGGAAGACAGTCTGAGAGACAAAGGATGAGAAAGAGAAGGGAAGAGAAGGAAGGAATGAAGTTGCTGAAGTTTTTACAAAACTCTGTATTAGAAAAAGCCAATTCAGTGCTGATCTTGGATGCACTATCTAGTGATTCCTGAATATTTTTAGGCTGACTCGCCTCTGTCAGGCTTCACAAGACTTTGTTGATCCCCAGATTCTCCCCTCATCAGTGTTCCAGTCAAAATTACTCTATTTTTTTTTATGCTTGATTCAAGAATAAAAGCCATTTATTATCACAGGCTCTTGACTGCAGTTTTATATCCAATCTGCTTGATTATGGTATCTCCTGAATGCAAATGCATTGACTATAGATACATAAGAGATACCAGAGAGAAAAGAAAATAAGAAATACTTTGAGAAGATGGAGGTCTTTATAATGAAAGGCTGTCAGGGGAAACTGTGTGTTACTTTTTATCACCTCCAAATCAAGGCTGGATGCCTTTTAGGGAAGATATTCTTTGGCCATTTGTGGTCTCTCTCCAGGTCAGGTTGTCTGACCTCGTGGTCCTTTCAGGCTCTAAATGGATGGGTTTTCCTACTGTCCTCATCATGTCTTCCATTCCTGAGACTCAAGGGCAGGGCAGCTATGTTGCTTCTGATGCATATGCACAACTGATTGTCCACTTTCTCTCTCAGTGGAGCAGGTTGCCAATGTGGTTTTGTACTCCAGTGACTTCTATACAAAAGTGGTAGCTTCCGAGGAAGCACAGTGAGTGAATACTCTGTTTATCCGTTCTTGCTCCTTCATACCCTTTTAATTACCCTCCTCCTCAGCAATGGAGGGTACTCCGGGCTGTAGTCTAGCAGTTGCCTGCTGTTATGGTGCTCTCTCTGCAAACCTCATGTGTGCGTCCCTCACACCACCTGCACTTTTCTCATAGCCAGCAGGTACCCTGCACCTTTTTTTCAAGAGAATGGAGAGGAGGTTGCAGAAGAGGGGTTTTGTTTGAAGAATAATTAGCTACTAGAAAAACTTAGCAGGGGCTGTGGAAGGCACTCCATTGCTTGAAATAGAGATGCAGTTTTTCTGAAAGGTGCTGCTGTTTGAGCGGAAGTCATGGATGCTCCAGCCTGAGATCAGTCTCTCATACCACTTCATTTGATTTCTTCTGGCCTTGGAAAGCACATGAGAGCCTATTGACAGTGTGGAGAACCACTTGCTCTTTTGCATTGCACTGCATTGGCAGTGCAGCATTGAACTTTACTTTATGAGGAGAGCTGGACACACCCAGACACTTTATATTTTTCTGATTTTTTTGCTGTGTAACCAAGGGACATGTTTTCCATTGAGTTCTGGTCTTTCAAACTAGGATTTATTTTATCCAAATTTAGATGTCTGCAGCATAGTTTGACCTACTTTGGAAGTCTGCCTTAATGTGAAATTAATAATTCTCTGCAAGTGCTTGTTCCTCTCTGCTGATTATAAAGGGAATTTTTGTGACTAGTTTAGTTGTAGACATCTGCGTTGTAGACAACTAAATTTAGACAGATAAACTCCACTCCTTTTGGATGGCTTTGTAATCATTCTTTTAAATTATCTTGGTTGGGTGTGTATTGCTTCCCTTCTCTCACCTGCTGCTTATTTTCAGGGAAAAGGTGCAGCCAAACAGCAGCCTGACCAAGACACTGACACTTCTACCATTGTTAGCAAATAACCGGGAGACCCGGGAAATAGCTCTGGATGGAAAGCTAAAGGATGAGGATACCAACTTGGCTTCTAGCACCATGTGAGTAGAGTTTTAAATTGTCTTAGCTAGTGGACAGTGTCTGTAAATGTGTGTCCAGATGGGTTGATCTAAGTTGCAGGACTTAGCTTGTCATGTTCGTTCAGGGTAAATAGTGATCACAAATCTGGAGAGTCATTAGCTGTCCTGACGCTTGTCTGCTCTGTCACTTTCAGGAGAATAGGGTGTTCACATAGTTCTTGCTCCAGTCATATATTGTCACTCCGTTGCTGTGCTGCCTAACACTGCTGTCTGTTTTCTCTGGTAGTATTAAGGATGGGATAGACAAGACGGTGATGGGGATTCTGGTTTCCTACAAGGTCAAAGTGAAGCTCACTGTTCCAGGGTAAGAACAACTTTTTGCTACATCTGCATAGAGTTGAGAGGGGAGTGTGTGTATTTCATTGACAAGTGGGGAGAGGGCAGGACAGTCCACCCTAAGAGAAAGGGCACATGTAGGATATCAGGCTCCCTCTAAAGCATAAATTGCCTGGAAATCAGTCTTGGCCTATCCAAAGAATTTGTCCTGAGCCAAAATGGTTGGATTACTTTCCTTAGATACCGTATGACTTTATTGCTGAAGTAGGAACCTCTGGTTTGCATTGCAATTTTTTGTTTCAAATCCATAATTTATTTTCTGAAAACTGAAGTAAAACTTTGTGTGAGCTTTTATGTTGATGTTCTTGTTCTCCCAAAGCAGAAGGTAGAGATATCTGCCTGGGAGTCGTAAATACTGTAGCTCACGTTCTGTACTGAGCCAGCTTTCTGGGAGAAGCTGATGTTGTCAAGATGAGCTAGTTTCCAGCATACAGTCCAAAAGAGGACAAGGATAACTCTGGTGATAGTCACTATTTACATTTGTATTTAATTCATCTGTCCTTCTTTCTAGTATAAAAATGAGTCAATGATTTGCCTAAAGCATGATAAAATGCTGCCTACTGTGGTCCTCTGACCTTGTCCTTTGACTCTCAGAAAAGGACCCATACCCAACACTTGGTCAGGAGTTCATAAACATAGACACTTCCTCTATGGAAAGAACATGAAAAATTAAAATTACTTTTTTAAAAACCAAGTTTATTTGATTGCTATGCTTTGTCACAAGTAGCGAGGAGTATATGAGGAAGGTGATTTAGTCCACCAATAAAACAACATTTGGTAGAGCACTGAAATGGAAGGGCACTAAATATGCTTGCGTTTCTCTCCTTGTTTTCTTCTGTAGCATGCTGGGAGACCTCACTTCCAGGTAAATGTTATCTTCCTTTTCAGACCATGCAGTCAGTCGTTAATTTGTCTTAACTACCCTCTTTCCTATTCTCTTTCTTGCCACCCTAAAAAAAAATAAATCCAAAACTATCCCCTAATCTGACAGAAATAAGAATTCTGTGCATTCAGCTGTGAAAATTAAGGAATTACAAAAATATCTCTGATTTTTTAGACATGCAAGTACATTCAGCACATAAACCCAGTTTATTAAAGTGGATATGCCTGGGATATTTGTGGAGAAATCAGAGTTTAACACTTTTTGAGGGGGAAATTGTGATTAGAAAAAGATGAAGGAATGGATGAAGCTGGAGTCTGGGGCTTGGGGCTGGCCTGAGGTGGGAAGGGGACTGAACCAGGCATGAATTTAGCTGTGGATCTGATGCATTCTCTCTTCTCCCCAAAGTGAAGTGGGTACAGAGCTGCCATTTCGTCTGATGCACCCCAAACCTGAGGAAAAGAGCACATCAGGTCAGTTATGCCTGGTTTTTGCCTTTCTTCATTTACAGACTGATGTGAAATCTTAACATTGCAAAGCTGATAGTGATTTGTTCTACAGAAACCTTTAGAGTCAACAAGACTCCAGTATGGGGGCTGCTCTGTGTGTGCGTATAAGTATGTGTGTGTATATATATCTCTCTCTCTCTCTCTCAACCTCAAGGCACAAAAGAACAGGGAGAAGGGAAGCTAAGATAGGAGAAGGTGGAAATGGGTCATGTTCCCTTTTAGTCTTTCATTTATGGAATCACAACTCAAAACACAGGGGCATGAGGAAGCACTGCATGGTTAAATCTCATGACTACTACTGTGCAGAATGTCCTGAATGAAGCTGTCAAGAATTCCCAGATTCCAATATAGCAAACAAGAATCTGTCACAGAAAACACCTAAGACACATGAGCATTATAAAAAGCAAAATATTTTTAGGCAAAGTTAAGAAGCGATAAAACTGTTCGTGATTTTGGAATCCCTGTTACCTTGATGTGGCATTGGCTGTGGTGTCTGAGGCGTGGCCTTATGCTCAGTGCGTATCTGAGAGGAATATCCCTTCAGAGTCAGGTCAGTAAATGGAAGTGTATGAACTTTAAAGCAGTGTAAGGAACTAGGATCAGATGCGAAAACTGCAGGCTGTCTTGAGCATCTGTGTTCTCCTCCCACTTCTTCAGGCCCTCTGTTCTCTAATAGCGAACATGCAGAAACTGCAAGGTGTTTGCACTAAATCAGGAGCTCCTGTACAGCATCTGAAGTGGCTATGGAACACAAAACACTGTGTCAGCTTTTTGATGTTGGGGCTGTGATAGATGGGTCATCTTGTTCTGCCCTCTGTGTTTGGACAGAATTGCATGGGCTTCAAAAAAAAAAAAAAAACCCCACAGCTGCTTCTGCACTGCTTTTTTCTTTCATTTTTTTCTTGGGCCCAAACTTACCTAAAGCTTCTGTATCTAAGAACATGACCACTGGAAGAAGATGAAGGAAGCTATGGAAGGAGTTATCTGGAGATAGATGCTATGTTCTATACTGGAAGCATTATAGAGGGGTGACTTTAGTCCTTATTGTGTGAAACTGTTGGAGGAATCTTATATGGGTAATGAGAAGGGATACTGGTGATTCCCTCCACACTCAGTTGCTCTGGTTGGAATCACTGTTTGCTAATTATGGATGTGCTGGAGTGGTAGGTTTCTTCACTCCTCTTTGAAAATTGCACCATGGGAAACTCACTTCCACTGGGAAAACCCCTGCTGTGAGCTGTGCCTGCAGGGCCTTTCAAACACAGATGAAGAGCCCGCTCATCGGGAAAAGTGTTTTTACACCCCCATCAGAGTAGCACAATGAGTCTAGGAAGCGCCTTCAGGACAAATCCACGAGACCTGTTCCACTTTCACCTGCTTTCTGCTGTGGCTGTAAAGGAGATGGCCACATCACTGGGGAGTAGCAGAGCATACCCCACAAGCAGCATGCAGTCCAGAGCTGCCTCCAGCTGGCCTGTGAGGTGGATATCGGGTCCTCAGGGTTGGTTCATATGACTAGTAATGTGGGATCACCTTGGGAGAAGCTGCTGTGAAGCAAGTGCTTTTGTTGGCATAGCTATGCCCATGCTGTGGGTTTCACTTTTGTGCTGCAGGGCAGCAAAACGCTGCCAGCAAAACACTGACGTTGCTGCACACTTGATCACGGTCTCAAATGTGTGAGTCACTGTGGGAGAGCCGCTTTGGCAAGGGTCTTCTGTCTCTTCTGGTAGCTTGTACGCACTGAAGTGTTTCCATTAGTTTCCTGTAGCAATCCCCCTGCCCAGGAACGTGGTGAGGGGGTGGGACTGGCACCAGTGGCTCCAGGAGCAGTGGCTGGTGATGGCCATCTAGTGTCCTTGGAGAGCCTCGCAGGGCAGAGGGGCTGGTGGGGCAGCTCAGGGCTGCCAAATCTGGAGCTTTCAGGAATATGGAGAAAAGCTTGAGAACTTCAAATAAGGACCTTCCAAAGGCTCAGGTAACTGTAGAGAATTTTCTATTTTTAGAATGGTGTGATTTTTTTTTTTTATGTGACATTTTTTGGTGCTAACAATGCCACAACCCCCTCTTTATTACTTATGTTTCAGGCAGGTAATTCTGGCAGAAGCAGTTGTAATATGAGCAAAAATGGAAGTCAGTTCTCCCTTCTAAGATCATTTCAAAGGAAGGCTGATATACTCCTTTATATAGCACACTCAAAAGGATGTGGGCAGAAGACTTTACAAGGGAAACGGAGAACTGCAATATTTCTCAGATCACTTCCACCAACACATCCTCTTACCAAAGGCACAGCCCACGTATTGTTTGCTACATCAAAGTATTCTAGGAGCTTGCTGTCAGCTATGGCTCATGTATTTTGTACAGATGGAAACTGCGAGTTTCTTACAAACTGAAAAAAATACAGGTAGTTTCAGGAGCTTATCCCATAGGAAATCCCTGCAAATGGTTAACTTGAGAAATAAGTGCTTTCTTTTAAGACAAAGATACTGTAACACAACAGAAAATTCCTCTGAAGCCTGCATAGCTGACTTGAAAACTGCGCTGGAATGTGGTGTCTGAGCTCATTACAGGGAATAAAACAGCCTTCCATATGCAGCTGGTAAACTAAAGCTCTTCTTGGCTTTATTGGCTGGTAGTTTTCCATGCCCTGTGCCTAATCACTCTTCCCAATTGTGAGTTCATGCTTTTTAAAATTTTTATTCTACCACCTTAGTTCATAAACTCTTGAGAAATAAGATGTGTTTCATTAGTGAAACACCATCTAATTTGGAATCGAGCAAATCAGGCCTTAATTGCAGAGATGGAGCTTCAACAAACAGCGTTTAGACTCTCAAAGGCCCCAAAAGATAGAATTTTTCTTTGTTGGCTTGCTTGGCAGCCTCTGCAGTGGGTGTAGGCAGGGATGCATGCACAGGGAATTTTGAGATCACTCCTTATCTTCTGTTTCTGTTCCCCTTTGTTTTTACCGATGAGTCAGTAGTGACTAGTTTGCCTATTGCACCTCCCTGCTTACTTGACTGTCACTTCATCTTAAGCCACAGCTGGGAGAGAGGAAAGAAGTCAAAGCAACCATCTTTGAGAATCAAAGCTAAAGTGGGATTAAAAAATGCCACATATTATGATTTATACTTTGCAGTGGGGTAATATTTTTTTCCCTTCTCTAGGCAAGGTGATTTATGGCAAAAGTAAATAAAACATTTGTAGCATCAATATATTTAATCATGGAGGGCTGATTTAAGTGTAGAGAACCTCAGAAGGATAAGCTTCTCAATTTGACTTTTTTAGGGCCAAACTGGGGCAAGTGTGACCAACTGCTGTGTGCTTTATTTCACAGCAGATTGCTTTGCCCTTTTTACTTTCTGTGAGCGAGCTCTGAAGTGTTCATCACTCAGTAAAAAGCAGATGTGTCAGAATGCACAGCTATTGCAGATTGCTCTTTTCTGCGCTTAGAGGAGACGGAAAAGGAATGAGTTGCTACCTCTCCTTTCTGTGTTTATTTATAGCTTCCTTGTCTTGGACTTCTTGTAGGCCAGCATTTGCCTGTTTCATGTGTGCTAGTTTTGCAACTGTTTTTGGACCCATGTGGTTCACAGGTGGTTATTTTTAGGCAAAGCAGCTCCTGTCGCATTGGCAGTCTGTCTTTTCTGCCTGTTGACAAAAATGGATAGAGGTCTGTTTCTTTTAAAGATAGATTCAAACTGGGCTGTGTCTCTTCACACTTCCAAGATCTTTCCCAGTCAGCAGTTAGCCCAGAAGCTCCTGGTGGTTTTTTTCGCAAGGCTGTGGTCTCAGTGTGAGTTCTTTGGTCTGAGGTTTTCCTGCCCTTCTCCTGATGTCTTACATTTTGTGGGCCTATGTCTTGGACACTGGCCTTTGTTTTGGCTGTTGTTCAACAAATGGTCATTTTTCTGCTCCCTTGTTAAACTTGCACAAAAGGGCTGGTTTCAAGAAATCCATAAATGCTTTGTCCCTTTAATATTAAAGCTATACTTGCCCTGTATTGCTATTGTAACTTCCAGAAATTAGTGATTTTTTTTTTTAAGCACTTTAATATCTTGACAAATAACACAGCCTACTCCCTTCCCCCTCCCCCCTCCACCCCCCCAAAGTTAAGTGAGGTTAGAAGTAAGCTTATAATGAAAATTACCATATACCACAACTTTAATTATATGGAATAATTTCTGTGGCTGCATAATAAAAGCTTACAGAAAGCTCTCTGCAGAGAGTATGATGACATTCTGGAGCCTCACTGATCCTTGAACACAGCCCCCTCCCATCCCAACCCTCAAAACAATTGCTAGGATGCCAGTTAAAAAAAAGTCTACCCATTTTCACATTCCTGAGAATTTTTCGATGTTGTTAAATAAGCCACAGGGCAGCAAGAGAAACTATGTGGAATGGGGCTGACTCCTGCTAGGGTGCTGATGTGGCCATTTAACAAGCTACATGTTAGTATAGTGGCCTGAAAGTAATGTAGTGCATCTTTGAGTGTGATCTTACATCTGAGGTGTGTGATAAACATTACTCTACTGCCATGCTACATAGGTATTGATTCAATAAGCATTTATCTGACAGTAAAGTATATGTCCAACTGAAACAGTACCTATTTTTCTCCCCTCAACCCATTGTGTGAAATTGGCTTCAAACTGCATTGGTGGGTATCACTCAGCTTCACCCACATCATTGATGTCACTGTTCCCATAGTAATGAACATACTTCAAAGAGGGGAAAGAGAGCAGACTATTTAAAGAATAAAAACTGGAGGAAAAATGAAATGAGAATGATGCTTTGTGTTGGAAATTTTTTAAGTTCTGAGTATTTCATTTTAAATCCATTTCAACCAAGCACGTATGCCCTGAGACTTTCTAGACTTCACCTTGGCTCCTGAGTCTGGATAGACACCATCATGAATGTCTTTACATGATCCATCCTTTGAGGCATTTTGGCTGGAATGGCCCCATTTGGTACACTTTTAATGCTGACTTTTCCAGCAGTGCTAGTTTGGCACTTGTTGCCCTTGATTTTAGTATGCGTTGTGGGTGGGAATTCTCGATGTGGCCAGTTATGCAGTCACTGAAGCATCCCGGATCCCTGGTGACTCTGCAGAAAGATGGCCTAGGTGCGCTTTGCTCCCTGATTTAAACTCATGATAAATAAGCCAGTGAAGCAACTGTTACTTGCTAAAGTAACTGTGAGAACAACAAAAAAATCCCTGTCCCCAGTTCATCACTGCAATATGGTCTGTTCTGCTTATTTTAGGCTGTGCTGAAACAGCTGATTCTGTGAATCCTGCTAGCAAGCAGGATTCATTATGATGTGGTTAGCAAAGATCCCACTAAAGAAACACAAGTGACAAAGTTCTTAGGATTATATTTAGGCAAGGATGAAATCAGGAGTATTGTTTCAAGTGCATAAATTATCTAATTGGAGACCACCTAGGCCATTCTGTATTCCGACCTTGTTTGATTTTAATACCTTCATGTTTATTGAACAAGAATATGGTCTTCTCATCTGCTGACTACTTAAATTTCAGTGACAGACCAATTAAGACTAACTTCATGTCACTCAGGCACTGTCATCTCTGAGTAGAAGTGTGTGCACAGATGTCTCTCACAGCTGTGACCACTAGCAAGCATACCTGGGAAAAATCTGTCTTTGTTTCTCAGCCCTTCTGATGTCTCGGGCAATGTTGCTAGAGTGCTTTTCCATTTGGGAGATCAAGTTTTGCTTCATCAGGCACATGTATGCACATTTTGTGACTTTCTGGAATTCTCCTTGTGTTACTGTAAATCCTACTGCTTGTCACTGTTTTGTCAGTTTATAATTTTTTCCTGGTTATAGTGTCCACTGTTCTAACTACTTGGTGTGTCTTTTTTCCTCCTTTACTGCATGCTGATGACTGCAGGGAAGGATGGGTAAGTTTATTTTAGCAATATTTCACATTGTAGCCACAATTGTGCATTAACTCTTAGAAAATTCCTCAAAAACTGTCCACAAATCCACAAGGTTCGCAGAATATGAGCTTAAATCCAAAGTGAGTAAATTACTGTGACTTGAAAAATTACTGTTATCAGCTGAACAGCAATGACTGACCATGTGAAACTAGTTTAAGAGAACATGCTTTGCCTCACAGTTGGAGGAAGGGATGTGTTTGTGGTCAGCTGACACTCTGTAGCTCTAAGTTTCAGGAACTCTGTAGGTTTGACCATGTGTCCATATCTAAGTACAGAAGGAAAAAGGATGAAAGGTTTCACATTTTATTTCCAGACAAAGACCCTTTGAGGCTGCAGGCTGTTCAGCTAGCTGATAAATACTTAGCTGGAATGGACATGATTCGGTATAGATACAACCTCCTCAGTTTGTGTTGACTTGCTCAATCAACTGCTTTTCATACTAGCTAGAATACCACCAGTGAAGATGATGCCCATGGGAATGTGATCCAAATCCCTTTGCAGACATGGGAAACATTACCAGAGTCTGCTCCAGGCTTCTCTTCTTCCTCCTATATGTTGCCTTTAGTCTGCTGGTGTAAAAAAAAATGCTAACATAATTTTAAAAGACTTGTGTTTCTTCCATTTCAGTGAAGCAGAGATGGTATTTGAGGATTTTGCTCGCCAACAGCTAAAAGATACGCCTGATGATGAAGAAAAGAATGATGAGTGACTAAAAGAACAAGCTGCCAGAGAAGCTATGTAGTCTGGCATCAATTAGAAATTTAGGACCTAGGTTTCTAATAAACTGCATGTTCTCAGTGCATGCTTGGTCTTCCAGGGATCAACCCTGAGATCAGTGGACGTAAAATAATGAATTTGTATTGCTTATTAAAAGTTGCAGCTCTAGAAGAATGTAGCAAGCTCAAAACCTGATGCTTACTCGAGCTACCAGGGAAGGACAGGAAGGCTGCCATGCCATGACTTCTGCTTTCAGGGCTACCTAATAAAAAGGTTGGTTTCTTTCACCACTGATGAGAGTTTAAATGACGGTTGGTGCAGCCTGCCTAGACTTATGCAGTGTCAGAGAGCCTCTGACTTTGAAATGCTAATGAACCAAATCTTGGTCTGGAAGGCTGGCTTTTGCAGCCTTTGGTGATTCATTGAAGTTCATTGATTTTATTTCCTTTTGGTTGCTTTTGCCTTTATGCTTTACCAAATTCATCTAGTGAATATTCTCAGTGCTAGCACAGTCCCCCTGTGTGGCTTATATCCACTTTCTGTACCATTAAATATCTTGCAGGTTATCTTCCACAGCAGCTATAGTGCTGAAATACAATGTTAGCTTTCTAGCAATATGCTTAACAACCACGTTATTAAAGATGAAAGAAATGTGCACTGTCCATGAATTCCTTAACAAAGCTCCCTATATTCAACACCAAACAGAGAACTGTTAGTCCAGACTGGTCCTGTCTTTAATCTAGTTTCCGGTATATAACAGTGCTTCAAAAGAGGGTACAGTAAAATTAGGGAGGAAATTCTGGAGCAGCCTGCTCTGAGAAGCCTTTTCCAACATCCATCTGCCAGAGGTTGGTTTATGCTCTAAAAATGAGATTGTATTCTGCAAACTTTGTTCTTTGTTGATCTGGATATTCTCATTATCCATGTAAATGTCTAATCCTTTTGTGAATCTCACTTAATTTTGGCTGAAGTGAGTTGCATCAGCTAATTACATTTTGCATGTAAAACAACTGGTGTTTTCTTTTTCTTGTTTTTGCTCTAAATCTGCTTTTCAATGTCCCTGGTTTAAATTATCCTGGAAAGTCTGAATTCAGGGCCTACATTTATTAATATAAACTTATGTTTCCCACCCTATGCACCGGAAAATTGAATTAAGAGCTTTCCACTTATATCTTAGTTAACTACATGCTTTTAACATAGAAGAAAATGAGAGACACATATTTGAGATGTCCGTTTCCTCCCAGCTGGAGTGGGAGTCTTGGTGAAAGCCTGCTGTAAGCGTGTTGCACTTCCATCCTGCTTCAGACTGCAGAGGCTCTGCAAACTGAGCTTGCCGACTCTCTGGCTTCGGTTACTATTGATAACTATAACAAGCCAAAGCAGCCTGCTTTGGAGAAAAGCATTTCTGCAGAATCGTTCTATATACGACCTTGTTTTTTGAGCAGAGGTCTCTTTTGTTTTTTCTTATTGACTTAATCATGGTTACAAGCTTTACTTCTACGAGTTGTCTAAAGGGTTTAACCAAACAGCTTTATATGTGGCCTCTCACGCTTACAAATAGGTTGGGTTAAAAGTAAAGCCTTCTCCTGTTTTGCTTCTGTAAACTGGTCTTGATTAAGATGCTGAGAGTGGTGAATTAAGACCACAGCTGATTCTCAGTTCCATCAGTGCTCTCACCTAATACCACCTGTTAGTGTGTTTGGTTCCATTAGTCACAGCTGTCCCACCTTAGATGAAATTGCAAGAGGCAGTGTGTTTGCTCTGCTGGTTGCAAGTATGCTGGTTTTGGAGAGCTGGTGTTCAGGAAATCCTTTAAAGATGCTAAGAGGAGGATGTGGGACAGTGTGTGACAGTCTTCCAGTCTTACTTGGAAGTGTGGCTTCCTCTGCTGAGGTGTTTCCTTCAGTATTTCTGGCTGCTGGACCTATAATTGTCCAGTAAACTTAGAGGCCTGGTTTTTTGTTTTTTGTTTTTTTTTTAAATATGTCCACCTTGTGAGGCACCGCTGTTGCTGCCTCAACTTCAGTGGCAGTAGTGACTTTTGTAAGCTGTGTAACAGAATCACAATGGTTGTTAAATCTGTTCTTTTGCCTGGTCTTAGGAAAGCACTTTCAGACACGGACTGTTTGTTTAGCCCATGCTGGACATTTGCTCATTTGCTCAGAGAGCGAGCGCTTTCTGCTGGCTCCTTCAGCTCCCGTTCCTCTGCCCTTCAGGCAGCAGATGCTGACCTCTGTCAGCAGAAAAGAGGTCTCTAGCTGGAGCTGTTTGCCTCTTATCTTTTCTTTCTTCTGGTTCTGTTGTTACATTGGTCAGCCCTGTGGCCTGCTAGTCATATTTACAGCTGGGGGAGAGCAATCCAATTTCCCGACCCTGTGCCTTTGATGTGGTGGGACTCCATTTATAGAAAGCCTGCTAGCTTGAGGAGAGGGATGCGCTCCGGTAGTGATACCATCTCTGAAACTGCTGCTTTTGAGCAGAGCTCTTATCAAATACAGGGCCTCTGTGCTTCAGCTGGCTGCTCCTGGGACTGGTTTGGTGACAGATGGTTTCCCCTTGTACATATTTATGAGATCCCAACTGAACCACTCCATAGTGTCCCATAGCTACAGCTATGGGGGCATTAGAGAAACAAGTGCTCTGGGGCTGAATTACCTCATACTAATGGTGTGGGGAAGGGCTGATTCAGGCACGAGTGTGTCTGTACTGGGAAATAAAGTGGTGTGTGGCAGCA